TGGTGGACTGACCCCCTAGGCTTGTCTCCACTTAGGTTTAATTATAGATGAAGAAGTACATGAGTGTAGTCTACCATTGCTTGTGTGCTAGGAATACCTGAAGTCCAAAGACAAATTAGAAACAAGAAAAGGATGGTATGCATTGCTTTTGTTTGGATTCGCAGTGCCCTTAATCTGATTTCATCCAATCCTCTGCTTCAAATGCTACATTTCCAACTCTATTGCATGTTCTGGCTACACAGTTTCCCTTTAATCCATAAATTTAAACCTAGACCAGAGTGAAGAGTTTGGTAAAGAGTTATGAAAATAGAAAACTCTTTTTGGGGGTCAAATTCTGAGTAGCAGCTGGAAAAAGAAACATATTTCCCAACAAGTCTTTCCGTATTGCAGAAAGAAGCCATTTTCATTTGTTCTAAAGAAGATACTTTAGTGTTTATCACCAGCTTCTCATAGCGTTTAACAAACTATACTCAGAACTGGGTGTCCGCCTAACACAATCCTAAGAGGCCAGCCTTCTCCAACACTAATGGAAAACTATGGCCTGTGCGTTCATGGGCAGTTGTAAAAGAGGTTCCAAATGTTCATCTAGAAAATGGGCTTTAACCGTTGTTTACATTTCTTGGATAACTTCTTCAATTCTGTTTGCTTTGTTTTGTTTTTTGAAATAATTTCTGGAATGCCATTTGAGAAAACTGGTTTGCAAGCCAGTTGAAGACTTTTTGACCATGGCGTTTAAGAGTGGCATTCCTTTCTTTTTGTAAAAGTGTTACAAAAAGAAAAGAACATGTTCTATCAACCCCTGACATGGGACATGCTACTTTTCTGGCTCAGAGTAAGCCCTGTGTTTTATCGAGAGACTACTGATAAATATTTGTGAATGATATACCCTGATAGGATGTAGTCTTTATTTGTACACAAGATACAGCCAATGAAAACATTTAGGAAGTTTGAGTTTTCCCCTTTGGGGGATATTGTTTTACTACTATTATTATTGCTGCTACTATAATACTAATAATAATAGGCTGTAACTTAGGAATAAAGAATCATTCCCTAGTTCTTTCCAGCACCTCTTCTCTGTCATTAACTGCAAAGTTAACCTCTGTAACATAACTGTCAGCAACTTGCAAAGAAGAGAAAAAGGAATTGCACATGTCAAAGCAAACGCTGCACACACACACATGCTCACACATGCACACAGATTATGTAATAGAAAGCACGAGAGGTTAGGGATTTCACAGTTCCCAATTCTCTAAACTCACGTTTTATCTTCTGCTATAAAGGCTTTTCTATCAGATCCTCCATCATTGAGCATCTGTGAGCAAATCTTGGTCTTACCCTCCTCCTCACGGTGCCAGGCTCTGCCATGGTCCTGCAATGTCCCAGCACCTGTGGATCTGGCCCAGCCAAAGCGTCACCTCACCCCCATGCACTCCATCATCCCAGGGCTCCAGCCACTGGTCTTCAACATCACCTCAGGCTGCCCTGTCCCTGAGACATTCAACCCAACACCCCTTTCTCCTCCAATTCAATCTCCTACTTTTATGTTGTTTCACTTCCTCTCGCCACTGGACTTTTTCATCCTTGCATGAATACTTTCTCTGAGGCAGTCAACCCTCCCCACTCTCAAGACCTCCTTTGGCCATGCTTTCTTGCCAAGCCTGGAATTCCTGATGAGTTCCTTGAAATGCCCTTTTACAAGCCCCCTTAACCTCCCTTCTCCAGCATCCTTCCAAGGCCCTGCCCTGAAAATCTCAGTCATACACAGTTCCACAGTCTGGCTGCTCTACCCCTTGGCCTGATGATGCCATCGCAGATTGATGGCGGCAGGTGCTCACAGGGCAGCCAGCATCATGGGGAAGTCTGCCACTCTGATGATCACTCCTCCCCGTTCTCCTTGTTGCATTGTCCAAACCTTCACTAATCTCCTTGTACTCCCCATCTAGTCCCCTTGCCATTACTATTAGTAGGTGACCTTGAAACAGAGCATCTTCAAAGGATCCACTTCCCCACCGCGCACCTTATAGGCATCCGTTTCCTGTCCTCAGCTCTTCCCAACACTCTTCAAGGAAGGAAAATTCTCCCTCCAGCTCCGAGGTTAACTCTGCTACATCAAGTATCCCCTGTTTCCAGTATCATTAACCTCTGCCTCTCTTCTAGTGCCTTCCTTGGATCCTATCAGCCTACTTAAATTTCCCCCGTCTTCAAAACAAAACACTAAGCAGAATAACTTGGCACTGTGTTCTCATCCAAGAATGGGCCTCTTTGTCCTTCTGTTTATGGCCAAGCTGTTCCCACTTCTTTATTTATCACTTACTCTCTTATATGTGTACGTTTTAAAAAATTTTACCTATTAAAAATGGTAAATGTCCATCATAAGACTGTATCAGGCAGTATGCAAAGTAGAAAATTTAAAGTCTCTAATAGTGCTACCATCCATTTACTATTGTGTTTTCTATTTATTTATACGTTAATTTATTTTTCCATTCATCCGTAAATGCTTTACTCTATATTTCCAATAGACAAGAAGACTCCTTAAAAATTCATAATACCATTATTATGCCTGACAAGAAATTAGCAAAACTTCCTTAACATCATAAAGTCTCCACCACTGCAAAGCTTTGATAACTTCCTTTCCAGATTTTTTTCTAAATTTAGAGTTATACAATGTATATCTATATATACAGATACACAATGTACAATGTAATCACACATCCATTTTTTTATTTAAAAATACAATCTTACTATATAACACATGCTATTGTATAACATGTCTTTTCCCCTTACTAATATACTATATTTTTCTAAATTACAATATCATACTATTTATACATCATTTATACAAAAGTAATCATTTGTATAAAATACATCCTAATTTATTGAATCAATGATCCATATATGCCCACAAAGTTTTAGGTTTCTTTTTTCTCTATTATGAAATTGCTACAAACACCAATGTTTTACTCAGATGCTTTATTTGAGGGACAAGTGTTACTTAATCTCTGAACCTTTGGGAATTGCTTTAATATAAGAATGACAGAAGGATTTAATTTAATACCTTTTCAAATAATTTTCCATTTGTCCAAACCCAGTCACTCTTTAGCTACTGCTGCTTGATTTCCACCTACACCAGTGTCTACTCAGGAAAGGGCATCCACAGTTTCTTTTTTTTTTTTTTTTTTGAGACAGACTCTCACTGTGTTGCCCAGGCTAGAGTGTCGTGGCATCATCCTAGCTCACAGCAACCTCAAACTCCTGGGCTCAAGCCATCCTCCTGCCTCAGCCTCCCGAGTAGCTGGGACTACAGGCATGCACCACCATGCCTGGCTAATTTTTTCTATATATTTTTAGTTGTCCAATTAATTTCTTTCTATTTTTAGTAGAGACGGGGTCTCGCTCTTGCTCAGGCTGGTTTCGAACTCCTGAGTTCAAACAATCTGCCCGCCTCGGCCTCCCAGAGAGCTAGGATTACAGGCGTGAGCCACCGCGCCCGGCCGACAGTTTCTTAATTGACACATTCAGTGCATACTTTTGGTCCTCACCCTTCTTTATGCACCTGGAGGATTCAGCATTCTTTGTCATGCCCTTATTTTTGCAATTTTCCTTTCCTTAGGTTTCTACAAAGCCACACTTTCCTGGCTGTCGTCTTACATCTGATTTCCCTGTCTTAGTTTTCCTTCCCAAATCTTCTTCATCTCTCTGTTTTCTGGTGCGTCCTGGGAGATTCTAAGTGACCCTATGCTTTGCATTTTACGTTTTCTCACTGGGCAATTCCGAACAGTTAGCAGGGGGTTGCAGTGCAGCCCGATGGGCACAGGTGGGCACAAGGGCAGGCACACAGGACATCAGACAGAGGCCCAGGGTGCGTGCCTGGGCAGTCAGGAGAGGAGAGCAATTCCACATGTCAGGAAGCTGGACATGAGGGCTCTCAGTGAGGGATGAGTCTAGAAAAACAAGCAAAGGCCACAGACAGCACGTATGAACCCATGCGTGCCCCGTTCAAGAGTCTGGACTTTGTCTTTCTGTTTGTCCTGTCGAATTTTCCAGGTCCTTATGACCTACCGAGCACTATTATTTCATCTTTTTGTGGTGCCTCCTACATCTGCAATGTAGGAATTTCTTTGTTCCATTCCACAGAGATGAGCTGCTATGATTGCTCCCTTGAATATAAAGAGAGACTGTGAAAAGGAAGACATAATTCTCAGGCGTGGCAGTGAGGAGAAAAAAATTAGGTTTCTATATTCAGTGGGTCTAAAATAAAGAATGTTAATGGGAGAATTATGTCTGATTTAATGGAACTCTCAAAATATTTATTCAGCCATGTCATGGACCCAGCGCGGAACCTGAGATAAAATCGTTAAGTTCTAGAACATTTGCGAAACAAACTCAGGGCTGAGAAGGTGGTCCATTTCAGCACAGTGGGCACGTAGTGTGCTTTGGAAAAGTCATTTTCATTAGAACATGGTTCTGTTTTGAAGGAGCACTTCTCATGGGCACAGGAACATGGGGCTGAGCCATGCGGATGTCGGGTCGTTGGACACATCAGGCTGTTTCCCCAAGTGAGGCTGGCACCTCGATTTTCTGCTGCCTCAGAATCCATGTCCCCACATAGAATGTTCCTGAGTTTACCCAGCCCCACTAGATAATGAGGGGAAAGTAAGGAGAGCATCATGACTCATGCCTGACAAGTCGCCTCTGTGTTTTCTGTCCTTAAGGGGAAATGACTTCTGCTTAAAATCTTCCCATTACAAGATAAACTTCTTAGGAATGCATTCTCCATGCTTCACGAGTTCCTGTCACTGGACAGGAGTGAGAAGCCTCGTTCCTTGTCAGTGCAGGTCTCTGTGCTGTTGAATAGGGGGCCTGATTAATCACAACATGTCTGAACTGTCACGTGAATCATATTCCACTGAGGGAAAAAAATTGCCTACAGTTCAAGGCTAATGAAAAGGTAACAACTGTTAATGCAGTTGGATGTGATGTCTCCTGCTTTGTGTCTGCAGCCCGCTGCGTCCCCGGAGGACACCCCTGAGCTTAGCGCCTTTTTGCAAAACTCGACCATTCCTCACCTCGTCAGGAAGAGGGACGCGCCCGTGTTCGAGTTCCACAGACAGAGCCCTGCAAAAATACTGGTGAGTTCTCTCTGTGGGTGCAGAACTGAGGCAAAAGATCGGATTGGGCAGAACTCCCAAATACAAATGGTTTTAACTTCGGGTATTGTTTTTAGTCTTCTCTGATGCTCAGATATGCCTAACATTTTGGGCGGTACATATTGTGAGAAATGAGTGACTTTTCTGGTGAGGACCAAGGAGCATTTGCAATATGACCTTTTCACTTTTCTGAATGTGCCATAGGAGCCACTTTAAAGAAATAATGGTGAAAACATCAAAGGTGACCTTTAATCCATTTCGAGAACATGAAGGTTCAGTTGTTAGCCCGTTCACAGCTGCTGAGCTGGTGAGAGTTTGAAGTGACCATAAAGAGGCACTGCCCATCCGTGGGCCCTCGGTGTGTTGCGCTTGTACCAGAATCTCAGAGTCCTCTGCTTATATGGAAGAGGCAAGAATGGTGTGTTCATGTTTCCTGGGCCAAAACTGCTCTAGAGACTTAGCATGGGGGTCTGTGGTCTTTTGAACTTGAGCTTAGCCCTTTGCAAAACTGTAGACGGCATGCATGAGTCAGCATTGTTGATTCAGTTCTCCCCCCCTTGTCCCAGAGCAGCAGCTTCTAGAGCTTTATCTCCCCATGTGAACATCCATCTTCTTCCCTGACCATGTGGCAAGGGCACAAAGCCAATGTCAAGGTTCATCTGTGTTCTCCAGACCATCTCTGTAAAGAGTAGGATGCTATAAGCATGTTCTCAAGCTATGCAGAAGGAATCAGAGACCACCTCGAAAGCCAATATCCTCTTCACAAGCAAGCAAACAAGCACCCAGGGCTGTCACCCAGTGACAGGCTGGGAACACTGTGTCCCAGTGTCTGGGGTGGGGGCAAGGGCTGGGCAGAAGCTTCCTGCCCCAAAGCTGCAGTGCAGAAGCTCAGTCTAAGAAGCAGTGCCTTGTGGTGACACCAAATCAAAAGTTGCAATGACAAGCTGAGGGCTGTCCATCCAAAGAGACAAGAGAAAGGGAGAGACCCTTGGCAGAAGGCCTCAGAGCAAATGAGAAATAAGAGTGGAAAAGTGGAAATAGAACTCAGAAGACCCTGAGCCAAGGAGGGTGCTATAGTTATTTCTACAGGGGCAACAGTCACTGTCCTGGCCAGGTTGAAAGCCATTGAACACCCAAGCGCATGCTGCTAACCTCCTCTAGAGGGTTCACCCCAGAAATTTGGAATTGCTCCTGGGCTCAGCCAGGTGCCACAGTGCTCTGGCTCCTTTCTCCTCCTGTCCACCCTATTGAAAGCCCACGAGGGTAGGTAACATGTTTGGTTTGCTCAGCATGGCTTCTCCAGGGTGTAGCATAGTGCCTGGCTCATTTGTTGAGCAAATGTGTGAGTGACACGGTGGATGAACTCATCACAGCTTTTGGAGACACCTTCCAAATGCCCTTGGCATGCCATTCCATCTGTTTTTAATCTTACTCCTTGATACTAAATGCTCTTAACCCTAAATTCAATTTTAATCAATTAATATATCACGAGCAGTTTAAAAGGTAGCATTGGTAGTAACTAAGTTCACTAGGTGCCCTACCTATTAAATTCAAAATAAAGTGGCTGTTAGGACCATGTACGAGTATGCTTTGGGGAACATAATTGCTCCAGCCACTTATTAATCTGAAATAATTCAAGGTACCTTTATCACTTGAAAAAAGCAAATCCCTGCTTGAGAAATTGAATTCCCAATTTTTGCATTGGTATGACTGAAAGGGGTAATCATAAACTTCATTTATAAAATTGAAAAATTGAAGGTTAAGAAAGGATTTTCAAGAGATAAAATGTAGAATGACAGTATGACATTTAGAATGTTAACAATCACTTGCCCCCTCAATGAAAGAGGAAAATGCACAGGAGATAGTATTCCGCTCTCTCAGCCAAGTCATTGGAACTGGCCGGGGTGTGTGTGTGTGTGTGTGTGTGTGTGTGTGTGTGTGTGTTGAGAAGGGTAGAGGCAGGGAGGTTCCAATACAGGAGGCCACACTCAGGAGAGGCAGATGCCAGCCAACAAGGTCATTAGATTCACGCATTAGCTGGAAAGAGTAGTTCATTCTTTTTTGTAACCCATAGACATAGTGTACAAGGACCCTCTGGGTGACCCACAGAGGGACACCCCCTCCCCAGAGGCCCTGCCTGTCCTTGAGTTCTGAGCCCAAGGTGGTTCATCTGGGGCGTCCCTGTCTCAGTTATCAGATGACACAGAGAAGGCGTGTGAGTTTCGAGGAAGACAAATGGGCTGGTATGTGGGAAACCAGGAAAGTTCTAAATTGATTTCCTTTCTAGTCCTGAACTCCTGTATTTACCTTGAATTAACTATTTAAAAAAAAAAAACAAAGAAAACAAAAGCATAGCAAAATATAAAAACCTCTGATAACCCCAATCATTTATATCAGTCCAATAAAGTAGGATAATGCCATATTGGATTACCCACAGTCCTGAAAATCCTGAACATGTTACCATCACGTGGGTAAGCCTTTATTAGCAGTAGTAAAGCGCCCTCAAAGAGGATATTAGGGTGAAATAGATGCAAATCCTAGTGTCTCATTGACACAAAAGTTTTCAGGAACCAGATTTCCATTTGGGGATGATGAAAAAGTTTTGGAGTCCGATGGGAGTGATGACTGTACAACATTGTGAATGTCCTCAATGCCGTTGAATTATACACTTAAAAATGGTGAAAATGATTTTTAAAAAGTGTGTCTTAAACATTCTTTGACATTCATTTACTTCATCTTGACAGTAAAAGATGTTTCTAACCCGGAAATGGGCAGAAAAATACAATGACCAAGTCTTAACGTAAACAATCAGTTCAACTTACAAACGAGGAGCATTTAGTATAATAGAAGTACCTGAAGTTACATGGCAAAAAGCTATGACAATTGGAAGATTATGAATCCTGAAAATTTTGTATGACTCTGTAATTTTTTAAAAAACATAAAAGTAGGGAATTCATACACTATTTCTTTTAAAATAAATTAATAAAATTCCATATATTATTACTTAAAAAAAGGTTCCAGGGGGAACATTAGAACAGAAAACAAAAATTGACATTGTAGAATTCTAACATGCTGTACCAATGGGGGAAACTCTCTGAAAGCCAGTGTCTAAACCTGTGCAGAACTAACAATTTGAAAAATCAAGATTCAAGTGTTTTTCAATTTCTACTTCATTGTACATTCATGGGTACACTGAGGCAGTGGATAACAATAACTAAAATTCTTTGGAAAATTCTATGCATTTGTGTTGCAGGGTCAAATTTTTTTCTCCTTCTATGGTTTCTCATTAAATATTTTTGATGTAAGATAATTTTTTTTAACTTCTGAATATCACCAAAACATATTTACTCACAGATGAGGGCCAAGGCAATCCTTGATTTCTGTATCTGATTTTAATTTATATATTATTCTTTTTCTCTCTTATTGGTTCAAATACTGCAAATCATTCGCCTCCCCATGTCCTCAGGTCAAAACAACTCTGGAGTGAGAGTGATTATGCAAAGTTTATTCTAAAATCCAAAGCTAAATAAGACCTCCTACAGTTTCTGTTTAGTTGAAAACAACTTACTGCATCACATTTCTGATTAGGAATCTGAAAGCTCAAAATGCCAACATCCTGTCCTGGGATCATAATTTCCAATTTGCATAAGAAAAATTCATATCTATAACACTGGGAAATAATTTGCCCTCTGCCTAGGAAGGAAGGAAAGGAAAGCATCTTTGTCCTTTCTCATCTCAGGCGCCTGCTGCTTTTGATGCTGTCACCTCCATCTCCCTCTCTCCAAACTTTCCTGTCTTCCCTTTCACTGCTCAGCTAACAGCAGCCTTACCTGTCTTGACTCCTTCCAGATTGTGAGCGATTGGCCGCTTCCTGAAACTATCGCATCGCTTGAATTCCCACAAAAACATTCTCTTCTGGTTCTCTCCCTACCTTTTTGGCTGGCCCCTTCTTACAATTTCTCTTCTAAGACTTCTCTCTCTGCCCGTTCTTCAATGCCCCTGTCCCTCAGGACTCCATCTCCGGCCCTGTTCTCTTCTCTCCCGTTGGTTTTGCCCTCTCAGGGCAATTTCTTGCATGACTCTAACTCCAGTCATTCCCCGGTGCCTCCTGCCCTCTCAGTCCTCCCTCACTATATTCAAGGCTTGAAGGGGTCGTCTGGATGTTTGATAGCCGCCCCAGCCCCCATGCGTCCAAAGTTCCTGTGTCCACGATCCCCCAAATGTGCCTCTTCTGGAGAATTCCCAGGGTCAGGAATACCACAACCTCCCGCTTAGTCCTAATGCAGAGAGCACCCTCCACCCCAGCCCCATCCCAACCTTCAGTTAGTCACCAAGTATCGATTCCACTTTCTATATCTGTGGTTCCCAACTCCCATACCATGGACCAGTACTGGCCGTGGCCTTTTAGGAACCAGGCTGCACAGCAGGAGGTGAGCGGCAGGCGAGCGAGCAAAGCTTCATCTGTATTTACAGCCACTTCCCATCACTCGCATCGCTGACCTCCTGTCAGATTGGCGGTGACATTAGATTCTCACAGGAGCGTGAACCCTACTGCAAACTGCGCATGCCGGGGATCTAGGCTGCGCGCTCTTCACGAGAATCTATGTCTGATGATCTGAGGCGGAGCTGAGGCAGTGATGCTAGTGCTGGGCTGTGGCTGCAAATACAGATTATCGTTAGCAGAGAGGTTTGACTGCACAATAAATGTGATGCGCTTGAATCATCCTGAAACCGCCCCCCCACCTCCCAGTCGGTGGAAAAATCTTCTTCCATGAAACCGATCCCTGGTGCCAAAAAGCTTGGGGACTGCTGTTCTATACTTCCCCAAAATCCATCTTCCTCTCTCCAGTCCCGCTGCCTCCGTTCAGGGCTTCAGCATCGCTCACTTGGGCTCTTGCAACAGGCACCTGTCACCCTCCTGCCACCTGCTCCCCTCTCTCCTCTCTTTCCTCACACACAACCTGCCCCTCTCAAATACAAACCTGACCCTACCTCTTGATTATTCAGCTTTAAGAAACAATGGTGATATAGCGCCTCTTGTATACTCCTGGATAGAGCTGGAACGCATTCTACTAAGTGAAGTATCCCACGAATGGGAAAACAAGCACCACATGTTCTCACCATCAAATTGGTATTAACTGATCAACACATAAGTGCACATATAAGAATAACATCTATTGGATGTCGGGCAGGGGGAGGAGGGAGGGGGAAAGAGGGGACGGGTATATGCATACACAGAGTGCAATGCGCACCATCCGAGGGATGGACACACTTGAAACTCGGACTTGGGGGGAAGGGGGGGCAAGGGCAACATACATAACCTAAACGTCTGTACCCCCATAATATGCTGAAATAAAAAATAAATAAATAAATAAATAAATAAAAAGCATCACAGGCTCCCCAGCGCCTTCTGAATAAAATGTAAACTCCTTAGCAGGAGTAGGGCCAGGGTTCTTCATCACGTAGACTTTCCCTTGTTGCTGTCTTATTTCCATCTGTCTGTCTCACCCCCATATACCCTGACCTGCCCTTTCTTGAGCACGCCCTGGTTTGGTACAACAGAACCACGGGTCAGTCTCCCATTCTGCTAGGTAACACGTTATAACTCTTCAAGGTTCATTCCAAGATCACCTTCCCCAGCATGCTCCAAAAGAGCTAACTAATTGGGACCCCATCTCCAGGGACTTTACAACTATTAACCTTGGCTCTCTTCTTGCCACCAGAGGGTGGGATAAGCGTGTCAGTCATGGAGTGCTGGTAAACATGACAGCCCTGCCAAGAGCCACGAACCACAGAGCTTTGAGAATTCTTGCTCCTGCTGTGGGTACAAGGACAGCCCAGCTACCTGTATTTGGAAACATCACATATAATAAAAAATCAGTCTCACTGGGATTTATCAGATATACATTACGAACCACTTTGCAGAGAATTTTGAGATCTCGAAAAAGGTTCTCATGGTAATATGTTCCTCAGATTACTCTGTGGTTTATCAATTTTGTTAAAGTGAAATGCCTCAGTCAACTGTTTCCCATAATATCCAATAGATTGACTTTTATTGAGCACCAGTAAGCTAGTGCTCAGTGCTTCAGACAGGAGAAATAAGTAAGCATAGGCTACAAGATGAATTCAAATTCATGAGGGAGTATAATTGGAGAAGTATCATTCTGTGCATGGCACACAGAAAATGGGCTGTGATGTGTCCATTATTATTAATAAAAGACACACTTTATTTTCTTGCTGGGATGTGATCAGAAAATCCGATTTGATACATAGAATGTCATCACGAATGAGTACCTTCCAAGAAGATGCATTTCTTATGTTAAAGGTTACCCATTTTACATTGGGCAACTCTAGAAACTGGTTTAAAAAACAGCCTAATGAGTGTGACTTATAGAAGGGTCTCCTTTACAACCGGAAGTAATTTAGACAGAAAGAAGAATGTCAGGGAAAAAATGCTTGTCAGTGGGCCAATCACTTTGAGTTTAACATAGACTCAGGGCCTTGCTCTGAAACCCTCCTGGACTTGCCTAATCCAACATCAGATGCTGTGACTATCTGTAAGACATGTCCCCCCGCCCCAACAGTTCTGAGAAAATGAAAGAGAACAATTTAATCGCTGCTACAGGAAGATTGTTTTAAAATCCTTAGAAAAGAGCTTAAATTTTGCATTGCATTTTGTGTTCCATTTTCTCTCTACATTACCATTGAAGTTCACACGTCCTTAGTACTGAACTGTGTTTTCTTGGTTGTTTCAAACATATTGTTCTTTATTTAAATTAATATTTTATGAATAAGGTGATGGCTTCTGAAAGAATAAAATGTAAATAAAGTGACTTCCATGTTGCTTCTCTGCCACTATTTAATGACATTGATGCACTCCCGTTGTTGTTGTTTTTTGCAGAATTGTACAAATATCGAGTGTTTACAAATCTCCTGTGTGGTGGGACGATTAGAAGGAGGAGAAAGTGCGGTCCTGAAAGTCAGATCACGGTTATGGGCCCAAACGTTCCTCCAGGTAATAAAAAAAAACTGAAGTACCTACGCACCCCTCCCAGGGAACCACTTCTCTTCTCAAAAGCTCAGCAGGAAGCCTTCTTATAAACACTTCCAATTTTTTGAGAAATTTTTT